TTTTTACGTATAAATGAGGTGAAATAATAGGTATTTGAGTGTCATTTAGCCTAGTTTTTATTCTAACAACTTTTTGTTGGAAAAAAAAAATTACACACAGCTCTTCTCAATTAGAAGATGATCAGTAATTCGGTATATAGTTAAAACAAAAAACTGGATCTGCAAAAAGTCAATGGTATTTATATTGGAAAAAAAGGACTGATAGGCTTATATCTTTAACGCATGGAACTCATGACATTTGTCTCGGAATCATAGCGTCATAATGTGTAGGTCTTACAATATTTACAGGAGAAAAATTATTGCCATTTTTTACCTTTAAAAAATACCTTGAATTTGTGGGAGATATGCATATGACTCCTGATTTTTAAACTCGCTGAATCACTCTAAACGTTGGGTGTCTTGCAAAAGCTTCCTAAAGTTTAAACATTTTTTTTAATGATCATTTGCCTGTAAAAAGGCAAATATCTAAAATGTTCCTAGGAGAAAATCACTAGTGTTATACAATGAAAATTACAAAGGCTAATGAAGCTTCAAGAAGCGGACATCGGGCCAGCTTGTTGAAAAAGGTGAAAATCAAAAAAACCAGTAGCAGTAAGAATTCGCTCTGGTCAGTCGACCGAAAAACTGTATCGATCGACCGAACATATACACAGTAGGAACAGTGCTGGTCAGTCAACCGAACATCCGTATCGATTGACCGATAGCGGGCTGAACGAGTTTCCCGGTCTGTTTTGGAGTGAGGGTTTATATAAATAGAAGGAACGTTTTTTTATTATGGTTAATAAGATAAAAGAGAGTTGTTTTGAGCACTTTGAGAGGGAGATTATTTGTAGGTGAGTGAGATCTTGTTGGTGAGGGTTATTTTGATTGTTTGAGAGTTGTAACCTATTGTATTTCTCCTCCATATAGTAAAATCTCCCCATCCTCTCCCCGTAGACGTAGGCCTCTTGCCGAACCACGTAATCCTCTGTGTTTGCGATTGAACTTGGTCGTATATATTGTGGATTGTGTTCATTGTGTTCTCTGTGCATTGCTCAACGACTCGTTGTGCATTGAGTCCGTTTCCACCGGGCGCAACACTGCTGACCAATCTCGAGATCTAAATCCGAACGAATGGCTATTCGACCCAGGATCGGCCAGGAGCCCAAATTCAAGACAGAAGGCGCTCTCCGCTTGGACCTAACATTGAGCGTCTTGGATAGGGGAATGGACCTATCAATCTCAAACTACTTTTAATAAGTGGCAAGTCATCCCCCACACTTCGCTGTCTAGTCGTCATCAACATTAATACGGTGTCAATCCTTATGACCTCTTGAGCTAGAGACTTCAAAGCTCATCAAACCACGCTAGTACTTCATGCCTTATCACTATTGTAAGAGTAACTTGTCCAACTAGTAGTCGACACATGTAAAGCATGGTCTGACTAATCACTGCACAAACCCGGCCAAATTACCAACATGCCCCGTACTGACTTGGGCATCGAAGGGCATGCCTGAGGAAACAACATCTGAGACCTCTAACCTCCGTTATATATGTAGGAAATTGCAGCTCAAGGCATTCCACAAGAACGATCAGGGAGTCTAAAATTATATTTGTCTCTCCTAAACTGCACATACTAATTTCCCTATATCAACAACTAGTTTAGTTATTTTTTATTTACGATCATCATATCCACAACCCAAGTGAGCTTTTTTCTCTTAACATTATTTATTTATTTATTCGTCGAATACGCATAGAGGATCCATTAAGAAAAGTTTAAATGGGTTTTGTGAGACCCCGGGTTTAGGGGGTTTTAGTGAGAGATAAAAAAGTTTAATGGGTTATGTACGAAACCTCTTCAAACTTAAGGAGAAATTTTTGAAATTAACCACCCTAGAAGAGAAGGAGGAGAGAGAGAGAGAGAGAGAGAGAGAGTCGTTGGTTTACAAAAAAATCCTCATTCAGAACCTAGCTCCTATGCACCAATTTCTATCTACTACTCATGTATGTTTTTTAAACTGCATCTGAAAATAATTAAAGTGAAATATTAGGGGTTGTTTGGTTCACCTATTTTTTTTTTTAAAGTTTTGAGAAAATACCTGACAATGATATTATTGTGAATAATAAATTTATGTAGATTTCTATAAACTGTGTTTTGGTTCTAAAAAATTTATAGAAATATTTTTTATAATGTTGGAAAAAGTGTACTATTTTATAAAATCAATTTCCTTCCCAAATGGGAGGAAATTGCAAGAATATCTGATATTTATGTTAAAATAGTAATAATGTACACCCGTACCACTTTTTCATAGAATTTAAAATTGCAAAAAAATTTGAAACTACTACATTCTTGTATGAGTTTTACTTTTCCATAAAGTTTTCTTATACAACCAAACTAAAGAAAAAGAAAACAACTTATTTCCTATAAAATTAGGAACTCATTTTTATGTTTTAAACCAAACAAAGAAATAGTATTAAACAAAGAAAAATAGTGCTTTTTAAATTCTATAAACTTCTCTTACAAATTATTATAGAAATATAAGAAAATTAATTTATTGACGCTTGTACTTTTCTTTTTCTTTTTTAAAATAGAAATGAAACCAAATAGCCCCTTATAGTCAAAAGATGGCGAGGCGGAAAATAAGAAACTCTGAGCCGCAAAAAGAGACCTACGAGTCCATTGCTTCAAGCATATATAGGATGCATTCATTCTTGAAGGAGTGATTTCATAGTATTTGTTCATCCTTGCAATTATCACGAAAAATGTGAACTTGAAAGAATATTACTTACAACATTACCTATCATCTAAAAGCCTAAACACCCCGCATGGACGAATATGTCCAGCTAAGACCAATTATATTGCATGCAGCAAAAACGCTTTAATCAAAGCCCTAAAATTGGGCCCCTAATTCTCCATAATGGTAACTTTGATGTTTTTAAGTAGCACAAGACCCCTAAAATTGAGACATATACATTGATCATTAGTGGCTACTTTAAGGGGGCCCATGCAACTGTCTTCTTCTCAAATTGACTAATAAGAGGGGGGAAATTAACTTTGAGGTTGATCAAGTACAAGTTATGCTTGTTTACAGCTTTATACATAAAGTAATTTGGATATTTATCATGTAGAAAGTAGTTTATGTTATGCATACGTCATACAACAAGATATGATAGCATTAATAATCAAATATATCCCTTCAAATCAGGTCAACTTTTTTCAATGTTTTAGGGGCCCTTTTTCATCATTCCGGGAGTGTATCAGGTTCATGTTAGAGACCCACATCACTTTTTATTTTGTCTGGGGACTGTAACTACATTCAATTTCCAAAGGCGTGAATGCATATTTTTAGCCAAACCATCTTCTCTGTTCCTCATGAGCCATATGCTTTTCTTTTTTGTTCCTTATTTCTATTTTTGCTTTATTTCTCTACTTTTTTATGCCTACATATTTTAGAATATCTATTGACCTCTTTTGCATGTGTTTATTCTCCCTATACGGTCTATCCTTTGTACTCTACTGTATATTAGTATTTATCTTGAAAGCAATCTTGAACCAGCATGAGTTTTCTCATAATGACAATTATAAAGTTTTCTCATAGTGTTAACTTTAACTCAAGATCAAGTATTAATTAAAAAGTGTCAACTGCGTATACATCCTTTGCACTCTGCTGATAGCTACTTACACCTCTCAATTTTGTTTACAATTAACATCCCTTAAATCTCATACGAGCTACTTTTTTTTTCTTTCTAAATTTGGGCAACAATTTAGTCTTTTTATCCTTTAAATTTAGATCAAAGAATTATTTATTATCGCATGATATTACAAGACATTCCAACCTAATTTGGGAAATATTATTATTCTGAAGTTAAAGGAATAGAAATTCAAGTAAACAGTTTAGTGGCTATTTTGTTCATAAAAAAATTTAGGATTTGGGGTGGATTATAAATTCTACGATCAAAAAGTACCATTTTTTTAGTTTTTGGACTCCTTAATCGGTGTTTGTTTCAATAAAATTTTGGAATGTTTAATTCCTAAAATACAAAAAACAACCATATTTTAGAATTTGCCAAATCCTATCAATCAGAGAGGATTTGACAAATCCTATAAATATGTGTGGTTAACCAAATTGCTATACCATTATATTTTATTCTCTTACGGGGAGGTTAGATCACCAAGGTAAGCATATTCAGCTCTCATTCTTTTTTAAATTAAAATAAATAATAGATTAAAATATGTTATCCTATAATTTTAGGGTTGGGCCAAATAAGAAATTATAAAATTTAGAATTTGCTTTCCTATAATAACGTCGAACCAAATAAAATATTAGAAATCTCAAAGCACGTATCACTACGGATATGAAATTCTCATGAGATTATAAATCCCAAAATTTTAGAATTTGAACCGAACAACCTCTTAGATAATTTAAGTGACTACATTTGATGTATCTTAAAGCTTTCATATTTTAAGTTAGTCTCTCAAATTATTAAAATTGCTAGTTTTTCCTCAGATTCTCATAAGTCATTTCAATTTAATCTATCTAATTGCTAAAATAACTTGGAAATTGGGGACCGAATAGCAATTGCAATGTTTCAAGGGACAAATTAAGAAACATCAGAGATGTGAGGGAGTGACATGAAAAGAACCCAGCTACAAATTCATTATCAAATTTTCGGATTACAGAAACCCTCCAAATGAAAAAACTTGGATCATAGGATGTTATCTTTGTAGCGGGGACTTTGACATTTTCTTCGTTGCATTTTCAGTCACAAATGGAAAAGATTGGATTGGCATAATAACCGACCTTGATATGCTTTTTTCTTCAATTTATTAACCAGCCTTGAAGTCTTGAACAGAGCCATTACTGTGGTGAAGTGACTGGATGTCAATCTCTCTCAGTATCTGATGGCCAACAGACGGGACTGAAAAAAGCAGCCCAATCTTGGTCAGCAAACTACAACTACAACACCACTACAACAGCCTCTACCTCAAAATGCAATCCCCTCCGCTAACCACATCTTCATTTATCAGTCTAATCATATTTTTAACCCCAAAGTTTGTTAATACAGGTTTTAGTATGGTTTAAGGTGTCATAACAAAAAAGTAACAAGGAATGAAGGAAAAGGAAAAGATAAAGGCCATAAAGACTTGGTCTTTCTCAAAAAACAGATCCCTATGAGAATGCAAGAGTTTGTTTGTTTGTATTAACAATAAGAAAAGTAGGCTATAAGACCTCATTACTCATTGCCCTTGTTTGAAGTTTAAAAAGGATTTTCTTGTGTTCTCTTCTCAAAAACCTCTGCATCATCGCATGCAAGTGCGAGTATATTGCATTGAGAAGACAAACAGTTGACGAGTAAGAACACAAAAAACCAAGTCTCAAATTGGGGATGGGGGGAATCATGATTAGTGTTTTAGTACTCCCCCAATGATTGTGTTGTCTCACATTGGTTCTTGCAAGCAAATCTTTCAGTGATCAAAGCGAAGGTTGAAAAAAGCCATGAGTGATAACACCACAAACTGGCTTGGATTCTCTCTATCCTCTCACTTGAACATGGAGCAAAATCAAACTCACCCCACATCTTCAGCTCTCTCTTCTCAACCCCAAAACAGCTTATTTCTCTCTCCTCACTTCAGTAACTCTGCTTTGTGCTATGGAGTTGAAGCGGAGAACAATGGAGCTAGTTTCTACTCTAATCAGCTCTCTGTCCTCCCTCTAAAATCTGATGGTTCTCTCTGCTTCATGCAAGAAGGTAACTTTTTTTTTTAATTTTAAATTTCTTGTAGCTTAAAAACAACCCCTCTTTCTCTTTTCTAAGTTCGTTTTTTATATTTCAAAATGGTTAAAGGAATGGTGGCTTCAGAATCCCCAAAACTAGAAGATTTCTTAGGCTGTGGTCCAAATATGGGGACCCATAACTACAGCAACAGTGAGAGGGAAGCAATGGCTCTTAGCTTGGATAGCATGTACTATAGCCAAGAAACAGAGGGTGAAGAAAACAGAGGCCAAGAGTTGAACCAGTTCTCATACATGCAGCCATTGCATGAGTTGTACGAAGCTCCGGTGGGGGATTTGAAGAACTGGGCACCTGGGTTTGGGGATCTGCAGACATTGAGCTTGTCAATGAGCCCAGGGACTCAATCTGGCTATGCAGCTGCTCAGCATCAGATTTCCTCTGTTTCAAACAATGAGTGTATGGCTTTGGAACCTAGAAAGAAGAGAGGGGCTGGGAAAGGGGAAAAGAAGCAGCCTGTTCCCAGGAAATCCATTGATACATTTGGGCAGAGGACTTCTCAGTATAGAGGAGTTACAAGGTAATTTTTTTAAAATTTTTTTAAATTTTATTTTTTTTGGGTAAAAAATTGATGTTTGATTAATCTTATATTTTTTATATATTTTTTCAAATAAAAGGCATAGGTGGACTGGGAGATATGAGGCTCATCTTTGGGATAACAGCTGCAAGAAAGAAGGCCAATCAAGGAAAGGGAGGCAAGGTAGTTTATTGCAACATAAATCATTTTTTATTTTTTATATAGTTTTCAATATTGATCCTTTTTTGAAGTCTAATGTGTTTTGTTCTTGTTCTGTTTGCATGTAAATGGCCTACATGGTTCTTCAGTTTATCTGGGTAGGCTTCTTTTCTCTATTCTTTTTAATTGAAGCCCTCCATTAATTTCTTAAAATTTTTTTGTATGCAAGTTTATGTTGAATTGATTTGCAGGGGGTTATGATATGGAAGAGAAAGCAGCAAGAGCTTACGATATGGCTGCACTGAAATACTGGGGGCCTTCAACTCATATTAATTTCCCTGTATGTTTAATCTCATAAAGCTTCGAACTATTTGATGAAACTTGAACTCATTCACAGTGCAATGTACAACATTTAATGGTTTTTTCATGCAGTTGGATAGTTACCGAGATCAAATAGAAGAAATGCAGAACATGACCAGACAAGAGTTTGTAGCTCATTTGAGAAGGTAAAACTCTTTCAACATTCATATAGTCACTTCCATTTTCTACTACTCTTGATATACTCTTTTTTATGTTATCTTGCAGAAAAAGCAGTGGATTTTCGCGCGGGGCTTCTATTTATCGAGGAGTTACAAGGTTTTATTGCTTTCTTTGTTTCAGATAACAACATCGACAGATCACATTTCTATACTGAAAATTATTTGATGAATTTGTCGGTCTTGTTAATCTGCAGGCATCACCAACATGGAAGATGGCAAGCTAGAATTGGTAGGGTTTCAGGAAACAAGGATCTTTACCTCGGAACCTTTAGTAAGTTTCTGTTGTTCCCTTGATATTTCTTTGCTACATTATAAGTATCTCACATTGTAACTTTATAGGATTCTTGACTAGTTAGTCTTGTGCAAGTCAAGTCCTATATTGAAAAGAACTAGAAATAATAGTGACTAGAGAGTTAAAAGACTAATACCTAATAGCTTAACTCCGTAAGTTTTCTTTAGTCCACTTATTTACATTATGCTGCATCATAATCATCTTAAAATCTAACAATATATAATTCTTGATTAGTTAGTCAGTTCAATCACAGAGTTAAGCCCTTTAGATTCTTTGAATTCTCAAAAGCTCTTTCTCAGAGAATGTTAGAAGAATTCTGGGCATTCCTTGCTTTAGCAAACAAAAACATCTTTTCATAAGGCTGTTCCTCTGTTGCAAGTCTTGACTGACGAATTAACCTCATTCAGTAAAAGCCCATAAAGAAAATTTCACTTGTTCTCTTTATTCCTATCAGAACCCCTCACAATGAGCAGCAATCTGAACCACACATTAGGCTTGGTAATTACAGAAACCTCCTCCTTGTTCCCCATTCTGCAGCTCAAAACGCCCTGCACAATAGGATGTGTACCATTGTATGATTCTTGACTGAAATTTGCATCCTAATCAACTCTTCAGGCACTCAAGAAGAAGCAGCAGAGGCCTACGACATTGCTGCAATCAAATTCCGTGGACTGAGTGCCGTTACTAACTTTGATATAACAAGATATGACGTAGACAAGATCACAAACAGCAACACTCTCCTTCCAAGAGAACTCGCTCGCAGGATCAAAACCATAGAAGGCAATAACAATGTTACAGTTGCTCAAAGCAGTTGCAGAGAGCTCCAGCTAATTTCTGAACAAAATGAATACCAGCAATTCTCAAACAATCTGCAGGGTTTCGATGATTCAGGCAAAATGGTGAACCATCACTTGTCGAATTCTTCGTCTCTGGTGACTAGTTTGAGTAGTTCTGCAGAGGCGAGCCCAGACCGAAGCGGGCTGCCGATGATCTTGGGGAAGCCAGTGAACTCATGGGGGCCTATGGGTCAATTGCCAGTGTTTGCAGCTTGGGCTGATATTTCTTAAGTTCTCATCTGATTAGAAGTGAAGATTAGCAACTTGTAGTCTCCTTTTGGGTTTTAAGTAGAATATGGAGGGCAAGTCTCTTTTCCTTTTCCTGTGGCTTGAATATGGGAGCTTTCTCGAGCCAATGGATAAGGGTTTTTGCAATGTGAGAGGCCTTGGGATTTAAGACTAATTATATTTCAGTATGATGTTGCTAATTTGAATGGTATGTTACTACTTTTTTTTTTAATGCAAAATTTAGTTTTGGCCAGATGATGGAGTCGAATGGCCCTGAAACTTTAGAATCAATGTCATTAGCATGTTAACTGTTTCTTCCTTGATGTATCATGTTAGGTTATCAAGTAAAGTATCTCGATGCTGATTTTAATGTAGTCATTAAGGAGTCTAATCGGCTGGCAGTCTTTGACCACATACAATTTCTTTTTATCAAAATGTATTAGATCAGTTTTATTTACCTTTCTTCGGAGATCTCTTGTACGTGAAGATGCATTACTCAATTAAAAGCTTCATACACCAGGAACTGTTATGATCGTTACAGCATAATTTTGTAGGCGAAGTATCGCTTCCACAACTCTCCCAACCGAAGCTAGTCTGTATCAGTTTTGTTAGATATAAGTGTCCTACAAGTAATAATTGTATATTGTAATAGTATCTATATGAATATAACATCATTGTTCAAAATAATAGTATGCTATTTTGGTCAGATTTATTTGGTATTTTAATACAGATAAAGTTCTTAGAATGATACTAGACTATCGGACATTTCGGATATGATTGTAATGAAGAGATCTGATTCGTCGCTAACGTATATTCTGAAATGTTCTTAGTTGATGAAGTGTTGAAATGTGACATCATCACTGTAGGCGTTGAAAATTACCTATAGTTCTCCACGAGCAGCTCAAAGCTAAGAGAAGACGATGAACGTCACTATCCAGAAGCTTGATTGACATCGACGAACGCTTAAAGTGAATCGACGAACTACGTGAAGTAACGGAGTTTCAGAATAACGAAGACACGAACTGATCGGGAGCCTCGCGTCGCTTACAAAAGACGAAACGCCGCTCGTATCCCAGCTTAATCCATAATGATTTAATCATTGGAGCTTATAGAACTCCTCGTCGGCTTTCCAACGCACTTTGAATCACTCAAATCCGAGTTCGGATGAAGATGTTACGGCAGAAATGGACAAGTGTGCAAAACGAAGCGTCTCAGCCTGAGTTGAGACACCCCGAGGTGTCTCGGCCCAACCGAGACACCCAAGGGTGTCTTAGTCAAGTCCTATATTGAAAAGAACTAGAAATAATAGTGACTAGAGAGTTAAAAGACTAATACCTAATAGCTTAACTCCGTAAGTTTTCTTTAGTCCACTTATTTACATTATGCTGCATCATAATCATCTTAAAATCTAACAATATATAATTCTTGATTAGTTAGTCAGTTCAATCACAGAGTTAAGCCCTTTAGATTCTTTGAATTCTCAAAAGCTCTTTCTCAGAGAATGTTAGAAGAATTCTGGGCATTCCTTGCTTTAGCAAACAAAAACATCTTTTCATAAGGCTGTTCCTCTGTTGCAAGTCTTGACTGACGAATTAACCTCATTCAGTAAAAGCCCATAAAGAAAATTTCACTTGTTCTCTTTATTCCTATCAGAACCCCTCACAATGAGCAGCAATCTGAACCACACATTAGGCTTGGTAATTACAGAAACCTCCTCCTTGTTCCCCATTCTGCAGCTCAAAACGCCCTGCACAATAGGATGTGTACCATTGTATGATTCTTGACTGAAATTTGCATCCTAATCAACTCTTCAGGCACTCAAGAAGAAGCAGCAGAGGCCTACGACATTGCTGCAATCAAATTCCGTGGACTGAGTGCCGTTACTAACTTTGATATAACAAGATATGACGTAGACAAGATCACAAACAGCAACACTCTCCTTCCAAGAGAACTCGCTCGCAGGATCAAAACCATAGAAGGCAATAACAATGTTACAGTTGCTCAAAGCAGTTGCAGAGAGCTCCAGCTAATTTCTGAACAAAATGAATACCAGCAATTCTCAAACAATCTGCAGGGTTTCGATGATTCAGGCAAAATGGTGAACCATCACTTGTCGAATTCTTCGTCTCTGGTGACTAGTTTGAGTAGTTCTGCAGAGGCGAGCCCAGACCGAAGCGGGCTGCCGATGATCTTGGGGAAGCCAGTGAACTCATGGGGGCCTATGGGTCAATTGCCAGTGTTTGCAGCTTGGGCTGATATTTCTTAAGTTCTCATCTGATTAGAAGTGAAGATTAGCAACTTGTAGTCTCCTTTTGGGTTTTAAGTAGAATATGGAGGGCAAGTCTCTTTTCCTTTTCCTGTGGCTTGAATATGGGAGCTTTCTCGAGCCAATGGATAAGGGTTTTTGCAATGTGAGAGGCCTTGGGATTTAAGACTAATTATATTTCAGTATGATGTTGCTAATTTGAATGGTATGTTACTACTTTTTTTTTTAATGCAAAATTTAGTTTTGGCCAGATGATGGAGTCGAATGGCCCTGAAACTTTAGAATCAATGTCATTAGCATGTTAACTGTTTCTTCCTTGATGTATCATGTTAGGTTATCAAGTAAAGTATCTCGATGCTGATTTTAATGTAGTCATTAAGGAGTCTAATCGGCTGGCAGTCTTTGACCACATACAATTTCTTTTTATCAAAATGTATTAGATCAGTTTTATTTACCTTTCTTCGGAGATCTCTTGTACGTGAAGATGCATTACTCAATTAAAAGCTTCATACACCAGGAACTGTTATGATCGTTACAGCATAATTTTGTAGGCGAAGTATCGCTTCCACAACTCTCCCAACCGAAGCTAGTCTGTATCAGTTTTGTTAGATATAAGTGTCCTACAAGTAATAATTGTATATTGTAATAGTATCTATATGAATATAACATCATTGTTCAAAATAATAGTATGCTATTTTGGTCAGATTTATTTGGTATTTTAATACAGATAAAGTTCTTAGAATGATACTAGACTATCGGACATTTCGGATATGATTGTAATGAAGAGATCTGATTCGTCGCTAACGTATATTCTGAAATGTTCTTAGTTGATGAAGTGTTGAAATGTGACATCATCACTGTAGGCGTTGAAAATTACCTATAGTTCTCCACGAGCAGCTCAAAGCTAAGAGAAGACGATGAACGTCACTATCCAGAAGCTTGATTGACATCGACGAACGCTTAAAGTGAATCGACGAACTACGTGAAGTAACGGAGTTTCAGAATAACGAAGACACGAACTGATCGGGAGCCTCGCGTCGCTTACAAAAGACGAAACGCCGCTCGTATCCCAGCTTAATCCATAATGATTTAATCATTGGAGCTTATAGAACTCCTCGTCGGCTTTCCAACGCACTTTGAATCACTCAAATCCGAGTTCGGATGAAGATGTTACGGCAGAAATGGACAAGTGTGCAAAACGAAGCGTCTCAGCCTGAGTTGAGACACCCCGAGGTGTCTCGGCCCAACCGAGACACCCAAGGGTGTCTTGGCCTCGCTGAGACACCCCGGGGTGTCTCTAGGGGGTGTCTCGGCCTCGCTGAGACACCCAAGGGTGTCTCCAGCCCTAAAAACTGGCCGTTATGCGGTTTTAACCGCCCGGACTTCCTGAAGCCTATAAATACAGTCCCAGGACTTCATTTTTTTGAGAGCTGGAATTTTGGAGAATTGGCGAAGCCCTGCCGGACTGAAGATTAAAGGTGCACGAATTTCAGAGAGGAGGGGAAGAGATCGGATCGAGTTCGTCGGCATAAAGAAGAGGAGCTCGTCAGATCTGCAGTTCCCCGTGTCCGTTCCTTAAGATTATCCCGTTGCGATAATCTTAAGAAGAGCAATTATCTCGCTGTTGCCAAGATAAGCGCTACGGTTTCTTGATTCCTTCACGAATCAACAAAGCTCTGCCCGATTTTTTAGCAGTCAGATCTGATCGACGGTGGTCCACGGATATCAACATCTCCGTCACAGGCCAAGATCTCACGCAAGCAGAAGACCGATAAACTATCTCTGCGTTTGTTTAAAGAGAATTGTACTTTTGTTTTGTTTTCATTGTATAAAGGTCTTATAAAAAGACTAATTTTTATTTTCGTTGTAAACGTCTGAAGTTTGTAATGAATCCCGCAATGAAACAATCAATTTTCTCCGTAAACAAGCTGGCGACCACAGTGGGAGCCAACGGCCTCGCTGCCGAGGCTATCGTGCCGCAGCCGACGATCAAGATCCCGGTGTTCGAAGAGGTCGAATACGAATTCGACCAGCAGAAATTTGAGGAATATATTTCCTCCTCCTCCAGATCTCCCTCTTGCAAACGCAGGAAAATCGCTGCCGCGAAGAACGTGAGTTCAGATCAAAAACCAAGGCTGATGATCTGAGCCCGAATGCAGTGGAAGATTCCTCTCCGGCTTCCAAAGAAACCAGATCCAACGTTCGTGACAACTCCTCGAAAGTCAAGGAGTTGCCCGTTGAAAGTGCACCAGTGCTGACGAAGAGGGCTCGTCAAAGGCGCCGTCAACATCTCGCGCGTCAATTTGCCAAGGCTTTGGAGCCTGTTGACGGGATCTGCTATGATGCGGATCTGACGCAAAGTGTTCCAGCAACCAGCTTTGGGAACCTCCTCACAACCACCTACTAACGAATGAGTTCGTGTCAAACAAACTCGTTCAACTCTTGAGGAGCGTATCCATAAGCACCGCACACTGTTGGCGCAGACGAGGATCCTTGTACGGAATGCACATGAGTTACAGAAAGGAAAGGTGGTAAAAAAGCCACCAAGATCTAAGCAAGTTTGTATACCAAAGGCCAAATCAGCGCCTAAGGCAAAAGCATCCGAGGCCGCTTTCCGGCCTTTGTCAACTCCAGATCCCGCTCCTATTGCTCCCGCACCTCCGGTGAAGCCCTATGATAGCATGGATCTTACCAAATCTAGAGTCCCATTGAAGGATCGCATCGGTTCTCTACTCGAGGATCGAGGAAAAGCGCCTGTTAAGGAAAGCTTGAGATCATTGAAGGAGCTTCGAGCAAACATACGGACTGGGGGTCGTACGCGACCTCCTAACAAATTAATTTCTACAACGGCCCGCTTGGGGGTGCGTGCAGAAAACCAGGAGCCTGTTAAGGTTTCACCCTCACAAATGTGTGATTCCAAGCGTGTGACTCTTGTAGACGCCAATAAGGCGATGTTTACTCAAATAAAAACACGTCAGACAGAAGAATGCGTTATACCTGAGAATTCATGTAAACAGCCGATAGGTTGCTCTGACCGCAACGTCGATGAGTTGTACTATCGGGTTGGGGGTACGAATAAATCTCGAAAGAGAAGTACTTGGGAAGGGGACTCTCACTATTCGTGTACCAAATTTATCAGGGCAGTATTATCAGCGTGTAGCTACCCTAAGACCGCTCCGCAAAGGGTCTTGGTATTTGAGAGGATCTCCAACGGAAAGGCTAAGTCCAATCCAAAGCGTCTCCGTAAGAAACGATCGGTCGTTCAATGTGACGAACCCCCAGAGGTTATTATCAATATGGTTGATAAGGGAAAATCGATTCGACCTTCTAGCTCTGATCCGCTTGTATCGCATCGTCTAACCCGATTACGATCAGGAACTATTAGACAAAGGGATTATCAGAGAATGCAGAGAGGGTTATCCTTGGATGATGAAGCATCGGATGCTAACTCGACAATTGCTTCTGATAATATGGTATCTAGTCCGGGACAATCCCGTGAAGTGTTTATGATTAACACCGAGGAAGTAGCCAAAATGGTTGAGGATGCCTTGGCCAAGCAGAAAGAGGCATTCAAGATCGAAATGGAAATGGCTATGCTACGAATGAGGGAAGAACATGACCAACAAATTCAGGCTCTGTCCAATCAATTCGGTGAATCTAGCCATCGCAACAATGCTAATCAAACAGATAGCGATTCAGATACGGATGAACACCTTAAGGCTGATGACCCTCCTATTGACCAGAACGTTGGGGGTGATCCCACTAAGGATAACAATACTGGGGGTGGTCCCACCAAAGATGACAATGTTGGGGGTGGCCCTGTTATTCCTCTCAGGAATCGTCCAAGATCTGATACAGACGAGGACGATAAAATAAAGGACCTCGAGAGCAAAATCAACGCGTTGATGTCTGTTCAGGGGATAAAAAGGACCGGTATTCCGTCTCCCTACCCAAGAAAGTGGGATTCGATCCCATATCCGGCAAAGTTCAACTTGATCAACTTCACGCCGTTTGACGGAAATGGTTCCCCTACTCAGCACTTAATATATTTTAAGTCTCATTTGGGAATAATTTCTGGCAACGAGCCCTTGATGATGCGGTCATTCGTTGGCACCCTTCGCGGGCTTGCCTTCGATTGGTACCGCCGTCTCAAGCCCGGAAGCATCAACAGCTGGGAGGACCTGGAGAGCATGTTCCTCACTTATTTCTTCGATGATGATGCCGAAGTGTCGATCGGGACACTCTTCGATGAGAAACAAAAAGACGGAGAGTCGGTGAATACCTTCATCAAACGCTTCCGTAATTAGGCAATGAACTGCAAGGATCCCGTCATGGAGGAATTCGTCTTGCAAACCTGTCATAACAACTTGTCCATTAACATCTTGGACGTTATGGGAGTAGAGCCGCTCAATACCTGGAAAGAGTTGAAGGTGCGCGGAGAGTAGGCCGAACGCTTTCTCAGAAGGAGGAAGGTCGAAAGAAGCCAACCGATGGCTAACCCTCTGAATCCGAGTCTCATTTCCCATGATGAAGGGAATGCACCTACAACAGTTGTTGATGTTAATCAGACGTCGCAACAGCAGCCCCGAAGACAGCAGAAGACTTCGGATTCGAGGCTCCAAAAAGAATACTCATTCAAGGACGAAGACGTTCCAGCCATCTTCGAGACCCTTCTTAAAAACAACAAAATCAAGCTGCCACCCATCACAAATCAGGAGGAAGCTGACAATACTACGGATCCGAAGTACTGCGCGTACCACAGGAAGATCCTTCATCCTACCAAGACTTGCTTTACTTTAAAGAATAGCATCCAAACCTTGGTTGAAGCCGGCGTCATAACGCTAGGATAAGCCAAATGAGAATGGCAACACTCCGAATAGTATACGAGTATAAACTGCTTCTCAAAACTCCAACAGGTATATGAGTATAAACTGTTTCCTTTGTATCCAACGGGAAGTTCTCGGAAGAATACTATATGTAATTTTCTTAGGGATAACCTGATGCGGCATAATTATATACCAAAAAGGTTGCAAGTGTACAACCGTGTCAAGTTATAGTATTTAAGATATCGATCCCACGAGGAAGGTGTTTTGTCCGAGAAAATTAATGAAATCGGTTTCGTGGGTATGTTGTGTGCATGAAGGAGTCATGAGTGATAAGTGAAATTGATTGTGAAAGAGATTGGAGAGAGTGACAAATGCGTGTGTAATTAAGGTGCACAAGTTAAGTGAGAGTGAAATATTGAATACG